AGAACTGAACGCGGGTTCTGATGAGAACAGTGTAAGCGTTCAAGCAAACCACTTCTGAAGATGCAAGCCACTCGTGCTTGCGAAACGTCAGGAAGAAATCATATCGTTCGGTAGAATTTAATCGTAAGCTTAAGCCTAAAAACCCATTAGTTTCATAGGAATGGCCTCGAAAGCCTATCTCTGATGAATTTAAAGTGTCCCCCTTACAAATAAAATTTACGGGTCTTTCCTATTTTCCATATTTTAACCTGCAGGAAAGATTTCACGGGTGGGCAGCTTTCACATCGACATCCGCTAAATACTTACGAGGCATGCAAATCACATCAGGATTCCCCACCAAATTATCGTCGCAGGTACATTTGTTGTTGGTTTGGTCGCAGTGGGCGCCCACACCACAAATCACTCCTTGGCATCGCTGTTTGCAACGCCCACTGATGCACAGCTTGGACTCCTCACAGGGCTGACTTGATGAGCACACGTCCTTAATGCAGGAACCGCCAGGGAACGGGTTCCCTATCGAACCCTCTGCACAGCGACACGTCGGACCTTCATAGGTGAGGATGCATTGGGCGCCGGACGAACAGGCAAAGTCCTCGCAAGCTGCACAAGGTGAAAACTGCCTTAAGCTGGATGAACTGGGCAGATGCGATTTACTTACGTGATACACATTGGTCTTTGGTGTTTTTCGCAAATCCTGCCGCACATTCACATAAGGCCTTGTGGTTGTGGACGTGGCAGCGGGCGTTCGATCCACATCGGACTGAATCGCACGGGCTCACGCATGATCCATCCAGACAGGTTAGGATGTTGACGCAGTCCTTGTCGGACTGGCACTCTGACTTTGGTGTCCCAGGCGTGTCCAGAATGCAGCCGCCTTTGTAGGCGTCCCCAGTCATGCCCTTGGGGCAAATGCATTTGTAGCCGTCAGGCAGGTTGAGGCAATGGGCGCCGTAGGCGCAAGGCGCCCGCTTGCATTCGTCCACTTCCGAACACCCTTGAATAGCATCGCCCTCGTACCCGGGCTTGCAAGAGCATTTTGGAGGATCACTAGGCGTACAGTTGGCGTTGATGCCGCAAGGGTAGCGCTCACAAGGGCTTTTGCATTTGTTTCCGTCCAGCATATCAGTGAAGTAGGGCGGCGGACAGACGCACTCTCCAGGTTGCACGCACCGCTCATTCTCCGGGCATTCTTTGTCGTTGATGCACTTCTTCTGCGCTGGGGAGCACAGGCCGTTGTAGGCGTCCCCGCTGTACCCTTCGGGGCAGTGGCATTCAAAAGACCCAGGGCGGTTGAGGCACTGGGCCCCATACCCGCAAGTCTGCTGCTGCTCCATGCATTCGTTTATGTCCTCACAAGTGCCCTCTGGGGCTTGCTGGAATCCCTTGGGGCACGCACAGTAGCTAACGCCTCCTGTAATTGTGATGCATTCAGCCCCATTAGGACAGGAGCCGTCCGGCCCGCAGCTCGCCAGGATGCAGTTGCCGTCTTTCAGCTCGTAGGGCGGCTGGCATCTGCAGTCTGGACTGTTGCACTCCAGACACTCCAGGAACGGGTTTCCGTTGAACCCTGCAGGACACTGGCAGTCGTAGCTGCCAGGCAGGTTTTTGCACAAGGCGTTCAGGCCGCATGCCGGCTTGTCGCGCAGCTCCCTACACTCATCTTTGTCTCTGCACTTGCCGGTGGCCTGATCCCTCACATAGCCGTTCACGCAAATGCAGACACTTTCGCCGGAGAATTCGTCCAAAATACACTGTTCCCCAGCGGCACAGGGATTGTCGTTCGAGCAGCCGGAGGCGGGAGGCGCCAGCCGACTGCACCCGCTTCTGTAGGGGTCTCCCGACGTTCCTCCCGGGCATTGGCAGGAGAACGTCCCCGGTTCATTTTTGCAAACCGCCCCGGCTTGGCAGGGGTTTTTCAGACACTCGTCCACATCGGTGCAGCCAGTGGATGAGTTGGTGTAGCCGGAGCTGCAGATGCAGCTCGCCTGGCGGTTGACCAACATGCACTCTTCATTGGGGGCGCAACTCAACGCTTCACACGGATGTCGGCAGTCGTTGCCCACGTTCGGCTCGGGGCACAGGCACTTCTTCCTGTCGCAGAGCGAATTTCCTGGACAGTCTGCGTCCAGCTTGCAGGCGAGGATTTCGGTGCATTTGGTGTGGGCGTCCGGCTCCGGGACGGTGCCCTCGGGGCATTCGCATGAGTGCCCTCCTGGGTAGTTCTTGCAAATTGCGCCCACGCCACAGCTGTTGGCGAGCGTGCACTCATCCACATCAGTGCACTGTTGGTTGGGGTTCCCAGTGAAACCCGGCTGGCATTGGCATGCAAACGTCCCCGGCAGGTTGGTGCATTGCGCGTTGCTGCCACACCTACCACTGGGCCCGTTGGCCTTGTCGCACTCATTCACATCTGCAATGGGGGAGATGGTTATGACCCAGGAAAACAGCCCTGGGGTGCCCAAACCTACCAATGCAACCGGCTGAGATGTCGCTGGGGTTGAAGGTCCAGCCCTCCTCGCATATGCAGTAGGCTTCGCTTCCGTCGGGCTTGCAGTAGGCGTGATTGCCGCACTTCACGTCTTCACATGGCGCCTTGCACTCTATCATGGGAGGTGCGCCCACAAAGCCACTTTCACACTCGCAGTGGAAGCTGCCCACAGTGTTCAGGCAACTGGAGTCGGGCCCACATGGACTGGTGCTGTTCTGGCACTCGTCTATGTCCACACACACTGAGCCTTTGGGCGTGAAGCCCTTCTGGCAGAAGCACTGGCCTTCGATGCACTCGGCGTTATTGGTGCAGTCGAAATTGGACTGGCAGAGAACATTGACGTCCACCTGTGGACAACAATTGCATGTTATTTTTTTGATTGGTGCAGACTGTGCAGGGTGTCCCAGATTAGGAGGCGTTATATTGTACCCTGTTGGTATGCAATGTTAATAAGTTGATGGATTGCCTTACTTGTTCACAAGCGACCTCCGGTTGTGGTTTTCCTTGGTATCCCTGAGGACACAGACAGGTGTAGCCTGGATCGGCGTTTTGGCAAATTGCGTGCGTGCCACAGGGTTTATCCAGAGTGGCACATTCATCAATGTCCGTGCACCCTTTAAACGGATCGCCCGTATAATCTTCTTTGCAAGTGCAAACATAACTGCCCACTGTATCCTTGCAAAGGGCGTTCGCTCCGCATGGGTTCGGTTCGCACTCATTTACATCTGAGAACATTCGATAAAATAGTGTTTGGAGCGATGGAACTAGAAAAGCGCTACGCATACCAAAAGAGGACAGACTGTAAGAAACAGAACAGGTAAAGACAAACTAAACAACAACAACAACAAGTAGCAGCAAGCAGCTGAAACAGAAATTAATTACATACTCTGCAAGACAAAATACGATTACATTTTACACGCTGATTGTACAAAAATGTATACAGTACAGTTAGGCTTTCTATAGATCAGGCTGGTACTAACTAACAATAAGTAGTTATGTGGAAAATACACTTGGGCCCATCTACACAACTGTGAGCAGTCCATGATCACTCCAAACGGGTGATGATTGGCAAAATGTTGATGATACAATGAAGTGTGGGTGTGTATCAACAGACTGGTCTTTTGCGAGAACTCCCGAAAATAAAACAAAAACATACGGGAAAGTTAGTGGAGCTCCAGTTAAGGCTAAGCTACCTGTACAAGGACCGAGCGCCCGCCTTGAAGAAGACTGTTCTACAGTCCCGTTCAAAGCAGGGCGATTAACTACAACGGCAGGGCCTGAAGGACCAGCTGGCTCAAGTGCTGTGTTCACTTCCTTCAGATCCTCCCAAAAGCTACCCGAATTGAACATTCACATGCCAGGAACCTTTTGATTAGCTGCAGCGAGATGATCATGCATGACAAGAGGTGCCTCAGCTAACCAAAACCTCCGTCAGTCTCCATGCAATCAGGCCTCAAAAAGACAACTAACTTTCACAGTAGAGATGGCCCTGTCCAGTGAAGCCGGATGGACAGAGACACTTGAAGGAGCCGGGGACGTTAATGCATTTGGCGTTAATTCCACAAGCGCCCGCTTTGCCGCACTCATTGATATCGACACATTCCTCATTAGCTGATCCCGTGTATCCCTCGGGACACAGGCATGTGTAGCTGCCGTTGCTGTTGTGGCAGGAGGCGGATGCTGCGCAGGGGTTCGACTCACACTCGTTAAAATCTGCGCGGCCACCGGCGAGTAAAGCGATTGGTTAGAGTAGGTAATGGGCGGCTGTTGTGTTGCAGATGTGAATGAGGACACAACAGCTGCGTGGACGCTCGGGACACGGGAAGAGCCGAACTTCTCTGAGCAGTGGGGATTGGTTCCAAGCGTTGGATGGTTACTTGTTTAGTCGCTATACTTTCGCCCGACTCTATTAGGGGTTTGTTGGTTACAGATTTGTACAAAAGAAGGAGAGAGATCCGGTCTTCACGTGCCCGTTTGCATGTGTGTTGTCTGAATATGTACAACTATATACAGGTGTGTTAGGCAGATGGCCATGGTGAGCTTTGTACCTGAACACTCAGACTTTGGGTCGCCGATGAAGCCGGGCGGACAGGAGCACTTGTAGCTGCCCTCCATGTTGGAGCAGAGGGCGTTTCGTCCGCAAGGACTTTTGGCACATTCGTTGAAATCATTGCAACCGCTCGTGTAGGGGTCGCCTTCATAGCCTACAGTATCCAGCAATGAAATGGGAGGTTCCTTGTTAGTCTCCTCAAGTTACCTGGAGGACAATGGCACTCTCTGCCTCCAACCACATTGGTGCAGCTGGCGCCTGGTCCACAAGTTCCAGGTTGTTGGCATTCATCCACATCCACACATCCGTCGAATGGGTTTCCGTAGAATCCTTCCGGGCATAAGCAGGTGTAGTTTCCAGGCGTGTTCTGGCAAAGGGCATGCTGGCCACATGCGTTGGGCTGTTGGCATTCATCGATGTCTGCAACCGGAGAAAAATCACTTTCAGTTGGGTTTAGATGCGGAAGCGCTTTGCGCCAGCTCGGATTATGTTACCGCAGGGTATGGTTAACACTATCAATAGATGCGTGAAGAATTCCGACATGGAATGCAGAGTGAGCGCTCTGAAGTGTGAATGGCGCCTTAATCAGATTCGTTCCAAGTGCCCTGATTTATGCCTGACAACGGCATTATTAATATGTACATACTTGCCTGACTGTGTTTCAATTCCAAATCAAAATCAATTCATTGTCTATTTATCAATTAAAATACGTTTCGGTGTTTTCCACCATCATCAGTTTCTAGTTCGTCAACAGCTTAATCAATATCAGCCCGATAAAAAATGTGGTTACTCAACTGCGCTAGTTCCCTTAAAAAATCGTGTCTTCCCAACAAAAGCAAGCAGCACCTTGAATTTTTTGCTATGTTTAGAAGACACTAGGTGCTAAAGATTCTGAAAGTTTCATAAAAATCCTGAAACTCCCGATTTTTTCTAGCTTACTAAATATTAGTCTAGTAATGGACGTGTCTAGACAACTGCGCTTTCTCTTTTAAAAAATCGCATCTCCCAAACCAAAGCAGACAATAATTTGAAATTTTTACCACTTTTAGAGCGTAGTTGGTTCTAAAGATTCTGAATATTTAATAAAAATCGTGCGGAACCATCAGTTTTGCCAACTTATTCAATATCAGCACGGTAAAAAATTTGGTTACTCAACTGCGCTTGTGGCCTTAAAAAATCGTGTCTTCCCAACGGAAGCAAGCAGCAATTTGAATTTTTCACTATGTTTAGAAGACACTAGGTGCTAAAGATGCTGAAAGTTTCATAAAAATCCTGAAAAACTCAGATTTTTTCTGGCTCACTAAATATTAGTCTAGTAATGGACGTGTCCAGACAACTGCGCTTTCAATTTAAAAAAATCGCATCTCCCACAACAAAGCAGACAATAATTTGAAATTTTTACCACTTYWAGAYCRTAGTTGSTTCTAARKATTCTGRAKATTTAATAAAAATYGTGCGRAASCATCAGTTTTGCCAACTTATTCAATATCAGCACGGTAAAAAATKYGKTTACTCAACTGCGCTTGTGGCCTTAAAAAATCGTGTCTTCCCAACGRAMGCAAGCARCAAYTTGAATTTTTKRCTATGTTTAGAAGACACTAGGTGCTAAAGATGCTGAAAGTTTCATAAMAATCCKGAAAACCCAGAWKTTTTCTAGCTMACTAAATATTAGTCTAGTAATGGACGTKYCTAGACAACAGCGCTTTCTCTTTTAAAAAATCGCATCTCCCACACCAAAGCAGRCAATAATTTGAAATTTTWACCACTTTWAGRSCRTARTTGGTTCTAAAKATTCTGAATATTTAATAAAAATTGTGCGGAACCATCAGTTTTGCCAACTTATTCAATATCAGCACGGTAAAAAATGTGTTTACTCAACTGCGCTTGTGGCYTTAAAAAATCGTGTCTTCCCAACGGAMGCAAGCAGCAACTTGAATTGTTTGCTATGTTTAGAAGACACTAGTTGCTAAAGATTCTGAAAGTTTCATACAAATCCTGAAAACCCAGATTTTTTCTAGCTCACTAAATATTAGTCTAGTAATGGACCTGTCTAGACAACTGCGCTTTCTATTTAAAAAAATCGCATCTCCCACACCAAAGCAGACAATAATTTGAAATTTTTACCACTTTTAGAGCGTAATTGGTTCTAAAGATTCTGAATATTTAATTAAAATCTTGAGGAATTATCAGTTTTGCCAGCTTATTCAATATCAGCCCGGTAAAAAACGTGTTTACTCAACTGCGCTTGTTCCCTTAAAAAATCGTGTCTTCGCAACTAAAGCAAGCAGCAACTTGAATTTTGTGATATATTTAGAAGACACTAGGTGCYAAAGATKCTRAAAGTTTSATAAAMATYCTGAARAACYCAGATTTTTTCTAGCTCACTAAATATTAGTCTWGTAATGRACGTGTCTAGACAACTGCGCTTTCTCTTTTAAAAAATCRCATCTCCCACACMAAAGCAGGCAAWAATTTRAAATTTTTACCACTTTTAGASCGTAGTTGGTTCTAAAGATTCTGRATATTTRATAAAAATKGTGCGGAATCATCAGTTTTKCCWGCTTAATCAATATSAGCCCGGTAAAAATGTGTTTACTCAACTGCGTTTGTTCCCTTAAAAAATCGTGTCTTTGTTGTTTAGACAATATCGTTGTTTAGGCGATGTTGTGTTTCTTGTTTAGACGATGCTCGATTTTACAGATTAGCGAAATTGCAGGAAAATTTCCTAGAATCTGAATTTTTGCCAGTTCAATAAATTTCAGCTCAGTGGTGGATGAGACGCCGCAACTGCGCCCTTTTCTTAAAAAATTAACATCTTCCAAACTAAAGCAAGTGGATACTTGAAATGTTCACCGTGTTTAGAGGATGCCTTATTCTAAAAATGCTGAATGATTCATAAAAATCCAGCTGAACCCTGATTTTTTCCAGTTTAGTAAAAATCAGTCCAGTAATGGATGAGTTTATTATACTGCGCTGTCTGTTCTAAAAATTCGCGACCTC